CTACATGTATATGTATATGGTACATATACACCCCGACCTTCCCTATGGATCACAAATAATTCTATTCTTTGCTTGTGGCCTTTTACTTGATCCTAAGTACCTCTTGAAATATGCTGGAATGGCCTGGATTCTCAGCTGTTCACTAAAATAAACCATCAGAAAGATAAATATTTCTTGGAATTTAGATTTTTCAGAGCTCTTATCTTTCCTCCCTTAAGAGAATGCTCTAATGTTTTCTCTTTAAGAAATAGTATGATGAGGAAAAGAGACTTAGATTTTAAATTCAGTTAGTGAATGTGTGACTTTGGGGAAATTATTTTATTTTATGAGCTCAGCTTCATTATTGTGAAGTGGAGATAATAGTGGTACCTAATACTTGAGATTTCTGCTGTAATTAAATAAGTGAGTTTCATGTAAAATATTTAGTACTATACTGTGCCTGGCACATTTTAAGCTCTTGATAAAATCTAGCTGTTATTACTTTAGAAGTAGGGATTTAGTCAAGATTAAATGAGATAATTTTTATAAAGTTCTTAGCATAGTGCTGGGCATACAGTTCATAGTAGACACTTAATAAATGTTGGGTCCCTGTTATTTCCCATTTGGATTCTCAACTCCACTTAATTTTCTTCCCTTCTCCCCTCACCCTATCAATGCTGTGCAGAGGAACTCGATGAGTGTAAGCTTTGCTTAGGGTTCTGGGATCTCACAGCACCCAAGCTCAAAGCTAAGTAAATTCTAGAGCAGTGTTTGCAACTGTCTAGAGACATTTTTCGTTGGAGGGAGGGGGATCTTAGCAATCTAATGGATAGAGGCGGGGGTACTGCTAAACATCCTACAGCATGCAGGACAGGTCCCCACCCACCATCACGGGAAACAAAGGTTTGAATGTTAATAGAATAGAAATGGAGAAACCCTGTTCTAGATATGCGTATTCTGAGCATCGAACTCAGAAGGCTTCAGATTGGGTGACAAAGTGAGGGGTGATGCTGAGTTTGGAGTTGTAAATAACTGGCTGACTTATAGAACTTATTCCACCAAAAACAGCTATCTTCTCCATGGCAGTTATATATAAAACACTATATATATATGGTATTATACCACATACCAAAAAATGGTTATATTTTCTTGTTTTGCACCAAAATTCATTTTAAATTTACTCTCAAACCAGATGAGTATGTTTTAAGAATCCCTGGTGGGCAGAGAGGTTTTCAACGCCCAAAGCATTGAGGAATTCAATAACCATAGTGAACTAATACTTAGCCACTGTTTGTGATTCCGGTGGCACCTTGTGACCAGGGGAGCAGGGGCCCTTGAGCCCACTTGCAGCTCCCAGAGACCGTTAGGTGGCAATTGCTCCGCAAGAAGAGCCAGCTTATCAGCTTAAGCAGCTTTAGCTGCGGCATTGACAAGAGGCTGGGCACTGTGTGTACAGGCTAAAGAAAGGGGTATGTGGAGAGTGTAGAAATTAAAAAAGAAATCCTTTTGGACATTTTCTACAAAGATACAGACAGTTTGCTTGACTGATATCCTTTGCCTCCTGTTGTCTCAAATCAAACATTGCCAGTTGTGCCTTATGTATCTGAATAAAAATACAGTTTTTTAGTAACTATGGGGAAGGTTACTATTTTTGATGAGCTTGGGGGAGGGTAACAGGAAGGAGAGATCCACATACAGAATATTCTAATCCCCCTGTCAGGAGTCTCTTGAATATTTCTCATGTTGGACTAAGATCATGGTCTAATGGTCTTCTGACATGGGGATAACTATATTTTCAGTGCATATACTTTTCATTAAGGGCAGACGACAGCTCTCCAGAGAGTAAGGAACTACCAGGCTGGGATGGCCAGCCAGTATTTGGTGCCACCTTTCACCCCCGGGGAGCATCTGCTGACTCCAGAAAGAGGCTGAGAGCCTAGAAAGCTGAATGGTATTTTTGACAGCCTTGCAGAGCTAAGGCCTATCAAGTGGGGCCCCTGATGACTCCCCACCCGCCTTCACTTTGTGCTGGGACTCCGAAGGGCTGCATCACAGGAGTGATGGTAAACCTGAAGTAAACAGGTCCTCACAGGGACATCAGCTCAGACTCAAATGTCTCAGTATATGAAGTCAGAATGAGGTGACCATGAATGGCTAATATACCCAGGGGCCTGGCAGAAGCAAATGGAAGTATTAGAAAACATGACATCATCCTAGGCTTAAAATTATTTTTATAATTAATTTCACAAATATGATATCTGAAACCTCATAAAAATTAACGAGACATTACTCAACACGAAAAAAAACAACAACAACCAAACAAGAGAAAAAACAGAATAGGCACATAGGGGCTTCAGATATTGAAGTCATCAAAATAAACTTTAAAATAAGTACAATTTTACTTTTATGTTGAAGGACTTAAAAGACAAGAATTAGGCAATGCACAAAAGAGGATATCCAAATGGCCAATGAGTAAGTGAAAAGGCTCTTGACAACATTAGTCATGAGAACCAAAGGAAATATTACCATATCAGCCAAAATTAAAATTGCAGATGATACCGAGTGTTGGTGAGGATTTGGAACAATGGAAACTCTCATGCTCACAGGGTTGGTGAGAGTGCATCCTGGTGAAGGCACTTGGGAAACCTATTTGGCATTATCTCCTAAACTAAGATAAGTATACTCTATGTTCTAGATATTCCATTCCCAAGTTTACACCTGACAGAAATGTGTGTATTTGTGAACCAAGAAACATATATGAGAATATTCATGGCAGAATTGTTGGCAATGGCCCCAAACTGTAGAAAACTCAAAATGTCCAAATAAATTGGCATGTTGATACCATAGGGATATAATACCTTCGTAAAAATGAATGAATTACTATCAATAAACATTGGAATGACTCTAATAAACATAGTGTTGTGTGAAGGAAGCCAGACACAAAGGGAAATATTCTGTATGATTCCACTTATATAATGTTTAAAAACCAGGCAAGGCTAAAATACAGTGTTTAGGGATATAAGCTTAGGTGATAAAACTACACACAAAAAAAGAAAGTAACTGTCATAATATCAGGACAGTTGTTATCTTTGGCAGGGGGCAGAGCCTATAGTTATTGGGAGGAGGCATGAAGGGCGTTTTTGTGGTGCAAGAAATGTTTTATTTCTTTATTCTATGGTAGTTACATGGGGAGATCTCTGTAACAAATGCTTGAGCTGTATGCTTTCATTTCTTATAAGTTTCTGCATGTGCGTTATCATTCAGAGTTAAACACAAGATAATGGGGCAAAAACAAACAAAAAATGACCTACTACCATGCTGACAGCAGACAAGGTACTAGTCCTAAATTTTTAACTGAGACTTTACTTTCTATGGTAGGTCCAGTCCCTGTTTATAGCTGTGTTTATGCATTCACAGGGCTGTAGTGATAAAATACCAAAACGAGAAAATGGAAATGTCCCACTTTTTTATGCTTATTCGACTTCGGCCAATTTCCAGTTCCATGAAGATTTGAGAGTTTTATAGGCATTTGTTGTTACAGGTCAGCTTTGATTTAAAATATCTGACTTGAGGGAAGATCTTGAAAAACACACTTTGTGGGAGAACTGAGTTTTATAGATTTGCAGAACACAGTGAGGACTGGGATTGTTTGTGGCTACCACAAACAAAGGAAATCAGAGCAGACATTTTCAAAAGACATCCTCTGAAATATTCATTACGGTAGGTCCTCAGAGATGTTTGCAAGAATTCTTTTAAGTCGTTGCAATGAAAACGAAAGGTGGGCTTCCTTGCTTTGTGTTAATATATCACAAACTAAGCCTATGTTATAGTATCAAACCAAAGCAACTGCATTTCTTCAATACATACAATCTATGTCACTTAAGTGCTAATAATTGTAATGAAACATTTTTACCAGAAAGGCTAGAGTTCATAAGGGCCACTTATCCTACTGGAGTGGCTCAGGTTGTTTGAGTGTATGAGAGTACTCTGGCCACCTGAATTCCTACTGTAAATCCAAAACTAATATATTTAACTTAAAACTGATAATGGCAGGTTGGTTCTGCTGACACTTTACTGGTCATCCCAGACCTTATATAACTGCAAATTTTATGTGCAGCTTTTTTTTTCTCCAATATGTCTTTATTGATTTCAGAGAGAGGAAAGGAGAGAGAGATAGGAACATCAATAATAAGAAAGTCATTGATCGGCTGCCTCCTGCATGTCCCGGCTGGGGATCAAGCCCGCAACCCGTGCATGTGCCCTGACTGGGAATCGAACCCGGATCGCCTGGATCCTAGGTCGATGCTCAACCGCTGAGCCACACCGGCGGGGCTTATGTGCAGCTTTAACACAATATTCATGTTTTGAGCACCCACCGTGTGAATTTGAGTATATCAGTGCTGGAAAATTCAGCCTCTATGGACATAATATTTATGGAGAAAGACACACAGGTACACACACTGTGGCCATGGATTGAAGGCCTCCCCTGTGCCAGGCGCCATGCTCTGCTCAGCCCTTACATTCTCTGTTCTAATCCTCACAGTGACCTTGAAAGATGGCCATTATTTTTACCTTTTCAGAGAAAAGGAAGTCGAGGCTCAGAGAAGTTAAGGTACATCCCCAAGACTAAAGAACTAAGTGACAATGACCATGGAAAAATGAAATGCAGCTTTACCCCATGGCTCCTAGGTATATGCAATATCTGTTCTTTTGGTTGGTACAACTCTGACTAAGCTATACTTTACTTTGAAAGACTCAGTCCACTTGTGTATAAATAAGGACATAGGTTTACTCTTCTCAATGGAAGTAAAGGGTAAATCTGCCCAACCACAAAGTGGGTGAGGGATCTGTCTACAACTTGCACAGAAAATAAATGTTTCCCAGGCCAGAGTCAAATAGTGAGCTCTGTTTATAGACGAGGCAGGGTCTGCTCTCTGGTGGCGTTTTCCTTTGAAATGCTGGCACAGGGGAACTTCAGGGAGAGATGAGCTGGGCGTGGGAGCTCTGCGGGGGTGACCTACCTTCTGATTGATTTTCATCGTCTCTTCGGTGTGGTAGAGAAGGAACTTTTCACCCGAAGAAGTCAGGTTAACGTACACCTGGAGGCAGGGGTACTGAGAGAGCTTCCAGCAGTCCGGGCCACAGCTGAAGGAGCAGTTAAATGTTTCCGTAATGGACACATTCAGCAAGGTGCATTGAGACTCTTCGGTCCACACACTACAGAGAGATGGGGAGAGTAAACACAGGTCCAAAGAGCTAACAGCAAGAAAGGCATAATTAGAGGGGATCACTTGCCCTTAGCCTGATAATCTTTTCCAAATCTATAATACAACCTAGTTGTTCAAGTTTATACCTTTGAATAGAACAGCTTCAGGCAAACTGTAATACAAACATAGATAAATTTACCTGGCACCCGAGAACTCTTTCAATGACTACCATTGGTTATAATATAATATTTTCCAATGCTTGATTTGTTATTTTTTTCCTATCTCAAATACACTGCTAAGCAAAAAACATCTTACTGCATCACAACCTGCACTCACCTGCATGTCTGCCTTGTAAGCGGCTTCCTGCCACACCCCCGTCCTCCCCTCTGCAACGCCTGCCACGTTTGTAGCAGAAAAGGTACAAAGGACAGGAGGAGGGGAGATGGCAAAGCGGTGGAGGGGCTTGAGGTCCAACTTGACAGATGGAGGGAGAGGGATATATTTCTTTAAGATCGTTCTGATAAGGGAGAAAAGATAGCTCCGCCCTCTGATTATACCAAGAGCAATCACTTGGGTATCACTCTTTACCCTAATTGCTGCTTTATATCCATTATCCTCTCTTGTCCTCCCACCAACCCTGTAAGTTGGGTATTAATTCCCTTTAAAGGTGAGTAAATGGAGGGTCGGAGAAATCAAGTAACCTGCAAGGACACAGATAGTAAGTGATGGAAATTGTGATGCCACCCAATCCTGATTTCCCCAAGGCCCAGGCTGGTTCCATGGCGCTGGCTGGAAAAGAGGACCTTTGATGCTGGCTGCCGGGTTCATATCCATGCCCTGGGACCTCCCAGTTAGAGAGGTTAAAGAAAGAAAAAGCTTCCAGCTGCTCAATGGACAGCTTTTCATTCTAAAATATTTATAATTCTCTGATCGAGGGTAACATTTGTGACTAGGAAGAAACACTCCAACAATCAAGAGTTTGCTTCTGGGGGTAAACCGAGACCACAGGGAACAGAAGACAGTGTGTTTGCTTTGCAGGTTTAATGCCCCTTCCTTTTGCTGGACATGCCTCGGCAGGGCCCCCTTTTCATGTCCAGTTTCACGCCAGAGGCAGCAGAGCAGCCCTGACCCCCTCTGGTGCAGCAAATCATATTTTCCCAGATCGTGGGTGGTCAGAGTTTGCTTATCCTGGGAGGAAAAAGTCTTAGATGGTTCTAAGCAGATGTGAGGATCTGAAAGTGGCTTTGGAATGTGAACCCCCGGGGCCTCAGGCATCAGCACTTTCATTGAGAAGGAGACAGCTGGAGGCATCTGAGAAACAGAGCAGAGCAGCCGCAAATGGGAAAGATGATGCCTTAATTTCAGCAAATTACTGTATTTCAGCTAGAGTCTGCTTCTAAGTGAAGGTATTAATTTAGGTGGAGAAGTGAATACCACAAAATGATTTGATTCTTTTTTTGATTGAAACCTCAGTTTTTCATTTGAAAGACTCTCATCTCTTTAAGCTGAACCACGGTGAGACTTTCCCTATTAGTGAGAGCGATGCTGGGCTCTCCTGTACTCAAAGTGCCCAATTTACAGGCAGAGTTAGCTAGAGATGCTGTGGCTTGCTAGGGGGGAATACATGTGAAATCTCAGTATTTAATTGCCTCCCTCTCTATTCAGTAAACCATGGGCAAATAGTAAAATGAAAAGGGTTCAAAATCTGTAATTTTTTTCAGCTTGGTGCACACAGTGTTTCTCAGCCTCGGCAGCATATTAGAATCACCTGGGGAAATTTAAAAGCTGCTGATGGCTGGTTCCCACTCCAGACCAATTAAATCTGACCTCTGGAATGATGATGGGGAATGAGCACCAGTATTTAAAAAAGCTTCTCAGGAATTTAAATGTGCCATTGAGAACCACTGATGTGTGGGGTGGTGGAGGAGTGAGGTGGGGTGGAAAAGGAATGAAGGTGGAGAATGAACAGAGGTGTGAAGACGCAAGAACGAGGTCCCTGGAATTAGTGGGATGTGGGTTTGAATCTTGGCTATGCCACATGCTAGAGCTGTGTGACGCTGGGCAAATTATTTCTATCTTGAGTCCCAGTTTTGCCATTTTTATAATGAGTATATTCATACTTACCTTGTAAGATAATTATGAGAATTAAAACAAGTAATGTATGGAAAGTTCCTGGCACACAGTAGGCAGTTTTTTCAGAGAGCTATTTTATCATTTTATTAGACATTATTGAAAAATATTATGTGCCAGGCACTGCTCAAAGTTCTTATTAGGAAAGGAGGGGAGGAAGAGGGCCTGAGGGGATGGCCTATGCGGAGGAGAGAGGAGACAAAGACAAGTGCCCAACCCGCCAGTGGTGTTACCTCTGCATGTATGAGCGCAGGAGTGTGATTCCCAGCAGAAAGTACATCATGATGGAGCACACCATCATGGCCAGGCCCAGCAGGATGGCCCGGTCCTCTCCTGCTTTCAGCGCTGTGACCGTTTTCCTTTTGTCCAAGAGGTCGTGGTCCCTGATTTTTTGGTAAATATTTCTGAAGTTGAAAATAGTAGAGTCTTATATGAGAATCACAGTTAATCAGCACACCCCCAGAGAGTGGGTAAGTCACTGCCCAAGCCTTCCTCTGGCAGAGAGGCCAAGAGGAGCCCCCTCCAAACCTGCCTGAGTGCAATTAGATCCCAGCATGTGCCCATTGCCTCCCAACACACACACACACACCCAACCCTGAGCAGAATCAAGTAACCCAAACACTCTTCCTCTCTTTTCTCATGGCATAACTGTATTATTTGACCATTTCCTGATAAAATATAGGCAGTGTGATAAAAAAAATTAATCTCAGGGGCATAGTCAAAACAACAATAACAATTATCCGAAGTGTTTTTAAGATATAAATCATTATAACTTATTAGAGGAATTCTTTCTTAAAAAATAAAAAGTTCTCCTTCTTTACTTGGGGCCCATGTGTACCTGCAAATACTTTTCCCTTTCCTGTAAATCTGAAAAAAGAAAACAATCCTCTCAACTCTTAACATAATGCTTTGGGTTTGTTCCTTTTGCCATTTAACCCCCAGCTGATCATCACTGATCTTTTTGTACTCTCTGAACATAATGGAACATTAATTCAAATAAATGGCAACATACAATGGGAATCTGGCAACTTAACACCTTGTTTCCCCTCAGTAGTAATAGACAGAACTTATTTTGGTTAACATTTTCCTCAAGCTTAGGGTGGCTTAGGGCTCTATTGGCTTAAGACTTATAAGCAATGTTGAGATGTGAGGTGGTGACTCAGCCTTCTTTTCTTTTATGTGTAAACACTTGAGTGAGTTTAGAAAAATGTTAGTCAAATCAAGGCAAGACTAGAACTTTGGATAGTTATTATTATTATTATTTTTTTCATTTATTTCACAGCAGCAACATTGGGTATAAAAGAACATGAGACTGGAATCAAATGATCTCCTGAGTTAAAAACTTGATTTCTTTGTTTACTAGCTGTGTGATCAATGGCAAGTTCCTCAGTCTTCCTGATTCCCAGGTTCCTGCAAAGTGGAAATGATGTTTCCAGTGCATTGTGTTGGTTAAATGAGATGCATATGGAAATTATCCAGGAGAAAGACTGACGTGCATTATTGAATAAATGTTCCCATTGAAAAGTGGGGTGAGAGCTTTGGCTCCATGACATGAGCCTCAGAACTTCCTAAAATTACTATTCTCCAAAGAATTTTTAAAGGACAGAATGGCAAAAAATTAAGTAATGTAAGAAGCTCATGAATAGAGGACTGGACTTGAAATAAGATCTGGAGGAAAAGGCAGAAAAGAAATAAGAAATTGCTGGGAGTGCTGGGGGCTTGGAGAGCTATGTGGGGAGGATGGGAAGGAAGGCAGTGCTCAGGGATATCAGCAGGCAGGCCGCCAAGGGGTGGATGGGGTCTTGTTTCATTTCTATTTTGAGAGGAAAGCTCTGGACTGAAGGGATGTGGGAGTTGGGGAGCTGCTGGTCTTTAGGGCCTGGGAAGAGAGAGAAAGACAAACAGAAGGCTGAAAATGGAGAAGAAACTCTTATGTCATTATTTTTAGCTTCAGGCAATAAAACAATATACACAAGAATAACTTCAGATTTTCCTTTAACATTTATTTTATTTTTAATTTTTTAAATTTTATTTTTGTTCAAAATATTACAGATGTCCCTTTTTCTCCCCAATGACCCATTCCTCCCAGTTCCTTTAACATTTTTATCACTAGTCACTCCTGTTGCTTAAAAAACCAGAGTAGAGTTCAGTATGGAACTTGGCAGGGGAGGGAAGAGATGTCTGGTATTTGTGCAATTGTGCGAGTAGTCATTTAACTCTGCGCTCCAGGATGGCCTTACTGGTGTCTGTGGCAGGCATCTGTTCCGGTTGGCTGGTACGTTTTGGGCTGGTTGTTAAATATTTTGATTCCCGATAGAGGTATGAGAGTGGGTATATACTTAATATGTTTCCAAAAGGTTTTAGGGTATACTATTCATTAACCTGGTTGTTAGATGTAAAACGAACCAATTAGCTTACTATTACTGTTATTATTTTAAAGTTCTCTTCATGAGGTGGTTTATACAAATCTTACTCTTTCTTGGAAGGATGGGCCCATCGTGGGAGGAGAGTCATAGCGAGGCCTTTGTTTCTCATCTTTTCTTGGCCGTGTCCTTTCCGGGTCCCTTCCGCCCTCACTCTGGCCGCTCATTATCCTCATGGCAGAAGCACTGAGAGCCCCCCATTCATTATTCTCAGGTTCCCAAGCCCACTGCCCCCAGACTAGCTGGCCACCTCCCATCCTCTAAGATTCCCCATTGTTTTTGGAGATTTTCTTTGGAAAATGTAGGGTTTATATCAAAGCTCTTTAAACTTGACCCTTTATGAAGTGGAATGAAAAAAAGAAAAAAACCCAGAAAATCGGTGCCCATTAGCAGCTAAAGCTCTTGAGCAGGCAGACTTCTGAAACGAGAAGAGACAGGCTGAATCTGACTTCCAAGACCTGCTGTAAAATAGTAATCTGATGTTACTTTGCTATTACTGTTTATCAAAATGTACTTAATTCTGACTGCTGCCATTGAGATCTGCATTTTCCGCAGATGGAAGCCAGCAAGGAGGGAGCGATAGTCTCACAGTTCCAGTGTCAGGCTGTCAGACAGCATCACTTACGTCAGTCTACACCCATAAAAAAGATGAAGTGTAATCAGTCAGGAATGTCACCAGAACAAGAGCATATAAAAATGATTCAAGTGGGTAATTTACAAATCACAAATTGAAAATGGCTAACAAATGTTCTTCATATGCTCTGGAACGTGTAGCGAAGCAGGAAAATGATTGGTTTCCACACAGGCCAAACACATCTGGGAAATTAGAATATTACTCAGCAAAACAAAAGTGGGTGAGTGGGGTAAAATTCATCAAATTCATCAATAAGTTATTACTGAATTGATGAATAAGTCAGGAATTGAATGAATGATTCGGGAAAACAAAGAGTTCAGTTTAAATCCACAAGTTTATCTTGAGTGCTGGTAACCTCTAGTTACTGGGGATAGGGCCCCTAAACAATAGGAAGACAGACATGAAAAAAATTTACACAGGGTAGTCAATTCAGGGATGGAGCTATTCACAGAGTGAGTACAGAAAAGGAGTCATTTCCCCAGCCCGAGGGAGCAGGACAGACACAAGTATTGAGGTTATGGAAGCTTCCTGAAGGAGTAAGGCTTTAATCGAATCTTCAAAGTGGAATCAGAGTTAACCAAATGAGACAGGGAGTCGAGAGTATTTTTAGACAGAAGGAATCGCATGAACAAAGGGATGAGGGTTTGCAGCTGCATGGTGACTGTCGGAAACTACGAGCATTTTCGTATTACTCGGATGAGTATGGGACGGGGAATGGGGCAGATGAGCTTGGAAAGGTAGTCATGAAGAGTTTTGTAAGTCATTCTAAGGAGCCTGGCCTTTAGCTTTGCAGTTAATGGGAAGCTGTCGGAGGGTGACATGATCAGAATTTAGTTTCAGAATGATCACTCTGGCTGCAATGTGGAGATTAGATTAGAAAGGGAACAAGACTTAGAAAGAAGAACTAGGAGATTGTTCCTGTTGTGTTGGCAAAGGATCATGAGGACTGGATATAGGATCAAGGTTGGACAGGTGGAGAGGAAAGGATGTGTGGAGAAGGACCTAGGAAATAAAACATCAGCATCTGATGATGTATAGAACATAGGGGATGGTAAGGAAGTAAGAAAAAATGATGTAGTTTAGATTTATGCCCAAATGCTTGGCTTGGGTGACAGGGAAATGGTAGAGAGTGTTATGGCAGGAACCTTATTTCCCTACTCATCAGGAGTCCTAAGAGAGGACTTTTACCCTGGTAAGAAGGGGAAGGTCGACTGTACATTTACAGGTTCTTTCTGCCACAAACACAGTGTCCTGAGCTCAGGTAGAGAGGAATGACTTATCTGATTCGTGAGATGGGCCAGAGTCTGACAGGGGCCAGGTCTATCTTTTGGGTGAGTTTGAAGGTCACACTGCTCACAAGTAGCAGACTTTTTTTTTCATCCTTTGGACTTGTCTTTGTTCAGGCCTGGTATGCTCTGGCCTTCCTGTCTCCAGGTAGTAAGTTCCAGCTGGGGAAGTGAGTGTCCACAGCCTAAGACTAGTGGATTAGTGAGGTGGCCCCTCCCATCCCAAGTCGTCTTTAATGCTAGGGAGAAGGAGTATAATGGTATATCCTGGGCCTCAGGCCTAAACATCATCCTTCACACTAGGAAGCCTTGTACTTTGGGAGTTACTGTGCCACTATTAACAGAGCTGATATTTTATTTTCCTTTGGCTTTTTGTATCTAGTCTCTGTGAATATACTTAAAAGAGGGTTTGGGAGCCAGGCTGGGCATGGCTCAGAGGCTGAGTGTTGACCTAGGATCCAGGAGATCACGGTTTGATTCCTGGTCAGGGCACATGCCCGGGTTGTGGGCTCGATCCCCAGTAGGGGGTGTGCGGGAGGTGGCCGACCAATGACTCTCTCATCATTGATGTTTCCATCTCTCTCTCTCCCTCTCCCTTCTTCTCTTTGAAATCAATAAAGATATATATATAAATAAAAGAGGGTTTGGGAGAAATAAGGGAATGAAGGCCAGCCTAGTTCACTAAGGTTGAGAGCTCAGGAGGAAGAATGAGTCTGGGGCATGACTACAAGTTCAGTTTCGAACAGGGGATGTCCAACAGTAGGTATAAAGCAGGAAATCGGATTTATAAGTATGAAGCAGATCGAGCCTTGGCATGTGCTGACAAAGCAGTATGTTTAAGCTCTGATGGGGCAGTCTTGGCTTCATGGTTCCTGGTGAACCATGAATCAGTATGGTGGATACAAATCAGCATTTACACATGTTGACAATATATAGGGAACATTTTGCCAAATCCTTTTCTACATATACAGGGAACATTTTGCCAAATCCTTTTGGAGCATATAAATTATTGGTAAGTCTACAAGGCAAATCCAAGTATAACAAAATATTTTGCATAAAAA